AAAAATTAAGAAGAGCTGGGATTTCCTCTCCGGCAGAGAAGGACTTTGGCTGGGGGGGGTCTCTAATCCTCTGATCAGGGTTGGGGGGCAGCGACCTCGGCCCATCCCAACCCCCCATGGAAAGCCAGGAGCTGCCTGGACACGGGGCAGGAGAAGGTGCCCATCCCAGGATGGGGCATCCCAGACTCCAGGAAATCCCTGGGGCCCACCCCGGGGCTCCAGCACGGACACAGGGACCCACCTGCCGTTCAAGGCCGTGCCATTGATCCACTCCCAGCCGTTATCCCTCATTCCCAGCCCAATCCAGTGGTTTGTTTCACCTTTATAGCGCAGAAGGAAGGCCTGGAAGGCAAAGAAATGTTGGCTTTGGCCAGTCTTGCCTTCCCCACCTCCTCTTTCCCTCCTGTGTCCACCCCCAGCCAGACCTGGGGCTTTTCCCAAGGGGTTGGCTCCCGGCTCCAGCACTGGCAGCACTTTGGGGACAGCCTGGGGGGTTTGGGGCTGGTTTTATCCTCTTGGTTTCCCGGTGTTTCCCACCCCGGTGCTGCTGCAGAGGCTCAAGCCCAATCCTCACCAGTTCATCCCAGTCCTCACCAGTTCATCCCAGTCCTCACCAGTTCATCTCAGTCCTCACCAGTTCCTCCCTGGTGCTTATGGTGGCCAGGGAAGCTCCCAGGGCCTCACACCTTTCCCGACCCGTGCTCCAGTTGCCCTCAGCCTCAGAAAAATAATAACATTTTCCTTGGAAACCAGGCCAGGTGTCTGGGCACACGTGGGAGAATTCCAGCTCAGGGAAAGGGGGTCTTGCACTGAGAACTGAAACACAGAAAGCTGAGTCAGACACGTGGGCAGCCCTGAAAAGCAGCAAAATGGGTTTGATTCCTTGGGGTTTTTTTCCAGCAGCTGGAAGAGGGAAACTGGGGATGATTCTCTTGGGAAAAAGTGTGACTGAGGGAGGAGCAGGTGCCTGGAGCAAAGAGCAGGGAAAAAAGGGAGTCACCCACTTTGGGAGCCTCCTGGGATGCTGGGAATGCCCTGGCATCCTCCCATCTCCCAAAACGGAGGCGCCTGGCCCGGATCCTCCCCCAGGAGGTGCCTGGGTAGGACTCACCAGTCAGTGCCACGACCAGGCTCAAGGTGAGGATCCCCAGGAACACACTCAGAGCGAGGAGAACACACACCTTGGGGGATGTTCTCCGGTCTGACTCGGTTCTGTAGGACCCTGGAGCAGGAAAGAGCAGGGTGAGGATGGCCTGGCTCCTCTCCCCTCTGCTTTGCCCTCCTGTGCTGGACCCTCAGTCCATCCCCAGCCCCACCCAGGCCCATCCAGGGACCCCTCTGGGGGCTCAGGAGGGCAGGAGAGCTGAGGGGGGTCCTTCAGAGGCACCAACGTGTGTTTGAGGTCCTGTAGACTGATCTTCAGCCTCCAGAGGTGAATTCCACAGTGTGGAATTCAGTGCAGCTGTGCCTGGGCTGCTCCACACCCACCCAAAGGCTCCATCCCCATCCCACTGGTGCCGCCCCGGAGCGAGATGCTCTTCCCACCCCCTGCCCTCCCTCGGAACGTTTGGGGTTTTCCCAGCATTACCCCATTTGCACTGTTCCTCTGGATCACTGCAGGTTTTCAGGGCTTCCTCTTGGCCTGAAGAATTTGGCTTTTGGGTTTCTTTCTCCATCCTTGCAGAGAAGCCTCAGGGCCCGGGGCTGTCGTTCCCTGGGCTCTGTGGGGTGGGTGCACTCGGCAGCCTGGGGTGGAAGGAGAGGAGAGGCTGAGGGGACCTGCAGGGAGCTGAGACCTCCTGGGCCACAGCCCAGCCAGCCACAACAGCCCCTGTGGGGCACTGACGCACAAGGTGAATCAGCCTCTGGCACGGGTGGTGGGTCACAAAGGACAGAGGGACAGGAAAAGAGAGGGGATTTGCAGGAGGAAAGCTCAAGGATGTGCTCAGATGCAGCATTTCCAGAGCAGTGAGAGGGTTAAATTGGTAGGAGAAAGAAACGAATATAGGATGAGGCAGAAGGGGTGGTGTTCCAGCACCCTTGGAGGTTTCCCAAGGACAAAGCCCAGACCTTATCCAAGCTCTGAGCTGGGTCTGAAGCTAAAACAAGTATGGCATGGCAATGACATGACTGGTGAAGGGTTTCCTATTTCAAAAACTAAAGTATCCCAGTCACAGTTTAAGATTACAGAAGCCCCAGTGCACAAAGTCAGCCCCCTCATTTCAAGCCAAAATTTCAGTCCTACTTTAATTTCTGCCTCACAATGTTGACTGTACAAATTCAACAAATTCCCCTAAAAGGACCCCCGAAGGTTCATGTTGTGAGACCCCCCCTGGTGCAGCCCAAGCTCCTGCCCAGGTTCAATCCCTCCCAAGCCCACCGTGGTTTCCTCCAGCTCCCCCCAAAATCACTGTTCATTCCACTCAACTGAAACAAATTAAAGTCCTTTCTGTCATATCATTATTTGCCTCTTTGCAGCACGATTTGCTCAATTCTCTTTCCGAGAAGCAACTCTGTCAGCAACAAGGGGCTGAAAAAAACCCAACAAAATCACTGAAGAAGCAGCAAAAATGACAAACCAGCCCAACCCCGCAGCAGACACTCAAACCAACCCCACGGTAGCAAAAGCCTCACTAAACCCAGCTGTAAAACTGTGACTTTTGGGGTTTATTCCCCCCTTCCCTTCAACGTGCTACGTTTAATTAATCAGGTGGTCATTGCAGCCCCCCCAGAGACAAGACCATGATGTGGGGGCTCAGCCCTGTCCCAGCCATGGCTCACTGTGGGCAGGGAGCACCCACCACCCCGAGTTTGGCAGCCCAGGAGCTGCTCTGGAGTACTCACCTCGCAGGGCAGCTCTCAGAGACTGGGAGATCTCCCGGTAGGGTGTTTTTAGTCACAAACTAGCTTCAACCAGCTCCAGCAGCTTCTCAGTGTCGTTCCCAGGGCATCAGGAAATGTTGCTTCCCATTGGCTGCAGGGGCTCTCTGACGCTTCCCATTGGCTGCCGGGGGCTCTCCGACGCTTCCCATTGGCTGTTTTTCGATCCCCCCGCCCTGGCTCTGCCGTGTGGATGTGAAATGGGATATGTGTGACTCGCGGGTCTGGCTGCCCTCCTCGGCCGCCGCCGAGCTGGTCTGGCTGCCTTCTCCACCGCCGCGGGTTTTATCTTTCCTCGCCGTTTTACTGTTTATTGCCTTCCCGGGCCGCGTGCCCCGACCAGCGCCAACAGCCTCACCTGTTCACCTCCTCCATCCCGGCTCTCGGAGCCTTGGAGCTCCCGGGGGTGACGAGGGAGCGATTATGTGAGGGCGACTCTGTGAGGGAGATTCTGTGAGGGTAGTTCTGTGAGGGCGACTCTGTGAGGGAGATTCTGTGAGGACAGTTCTGTGAGGGCGTTTTGCCATCTTGGCTCCCTCAGGGCTCCTTCAGCCACCCCGGCACCCACAGACATTCCCTCGGGCCTTTCCCTGCCCAGCACGGGGCGAGCGGCCCCCACAGCTCCCGCCCCGACCAGGACACAGGGATAGCCGTGGGGTCGTACAAACTTTAATGCAAATGGGTAAAAAAGGAGAAGAAGAGAGAAGCACAGCAGCAGCACTGATACAGTAACTCTGCTGAGGCCACAATCAGGACATTGTACATTCACATTCACAGTTTCTTATAGCTTTCAGCAAGGGAAAAATACTTCACTTGTGCACATTCACCACTATAGTGCTTGAATATAGTGCATACAGTGTTATGGATGTAAACTCTTAGGGTGTAAATATAAAGTAAATATAACTAGAAGATGAGGAAGACTTCTGGAGAAAGAAACCCCTAGTCCACAAAGGCACAAATCCACTTTCACATCATGTCCCTGCAGGTTCACCTCCTTGAGACCCGTTACTGAGGTGACAATGACAAAAGGCACCGAGGTTACTGAGGTAGTGCTGAGAGGAAACCTCCCCCTGTCCCACTCCAGCGCTGCCCGGCGCCTGTGGCTCCGCTGCATCCCCCCCTCCTGAGTCCCCCTTTCCAGGGAGAAACAGATGGGGGGGATGGAGGGGATGGACAGGGGGAAACGGGACACTAGGGAAAACAATTCCAACATCTCTCTTCAAACCCAGGACAATATTAAACAGGACCGGATCCCAACTGGATGCAGCTCCATTCCCACCACTCTCTGGGCCCAACATTCCAACCAGTTCCTAACCCAGCACAGAGGGCCCTGTCCAGGCCATGGGTTGCAGCTTTTCCAGGAATGTTGCCTGGGAGACAGTGTCCAAGGCTTTGTTGGAGGACTTTTCAAGGTCCCTCTGGATGCCGACCCCAGGGAAGGGCTGGAGCGGTGCCAGGGCAGGGTCAGGTTGGGTCTCAGGAAAAGATTTTTCCCTCAGAGGCTGGTTGGGCACTGCCCAGGCTCCCCAGGTGGGCGACCTCGGGGTGGGGGAACACCTCCCTGGGACCCCCCTGTGCCAGCCTGGACGGCACCTTCAGGGAGCTGAGGAGGATCCTGTGCCCCCCGCGAGGTAACCCCCCACCCCCCGGGGGTCCCATCGATGCCCCCTCCCCAAACTTAAGCCAGGCTGGAGCCTCCCCCTGTCCTCCCACGGTACCTCAGTGCACCGGAGTTTGTCTGTCTGTCCGTCTGTCTGTCCCATAGAGGCCGAGGGGTGCAGGCTCTGCCCCGTGGGCTGGATGCTGGGCAGCACCAAGTGCTACTGGGTCTCGGAAAGGATGAACTCGTGGCACGGGAGCCGGGAGGACTGCGGGGCCCGCGGGGCCGCGATGGCGATGCCGTGGGACAAGGACGAGCTGGTGAAGGGACCAAGGGGACAGAGGGGCTGGAGGCACCCCAGGGGAGGGCGAAGGGCTCCCCAGAAGCCTGGGATCACACCCCTCATTCCCAAATTCCCCGCGGTGCCCGTGGCAGACCGGGGGGGAGGGACATGGGTCTGGCTCGGTCCCAGGGTGAGGATGGAGCCTATTTTGGGGTGACCATCCCCGGCCCGGCAGCGCCACCACTGCCCCTTTCCCCGGGCCAGGATTCCCTCAATGAGACCCTGAGGAAACCCACGCGGCACTTCTGGATCGGGCTCTCGGTGCCCGCGCCCGGGATGGGCTGGACGTGGGTGAACGGCTCCCGCCCGGACTGGAGCCGGTGAGGAGCGCTGGGGGGTCGGGGTGGGCACCCCCCTGTCCCCCGAGGGCCCCCCGGGAGTGACACGGGCCCCCTCCCGCACCCGCAGGTTCCCGCAGTACCTCGGGGAGGGTCCCGGAGCCTGCGGGGCGCTCAAGGGGGACAGGATCGACCCCCGCGCCTGCGACACGGGGCTGCAGTGGATCTGCCAGACGGAGTCCGCCCGGATCTGAGAGTCTCCATCGCACCCAAAACCCACCGTTAACGCGGGAGAAAACCCCGATTCCCGCGGGTTCGGCACCCACCGGCAGCTCCCGGGGAAGGGGCAGGGGCAGGACCGCGGCTGGAGAAAATCGCCCTGGGATGGGCGATGCGAGGGCGGCCGGGGTGCGAGGGAGGAGGAGAAATCGAACTACGGAAAGAATAAAAACTAAAAATAACTTGTAAAATTCACTTTGCGGGGGAGCCGGTGGCGAACCACCCCCCGATTCCCACCTCCCCCCGGTGCCCGAGGGCGGAGCGGACCTGCCTGTCCGTCGGGGCAGCTCTTTTAGGGACGCGGGGCAGGGGACGCTCCCCGGTGCCGCTCATCCCCCCTCACAGCGCTCGGTACCGCCGCGAGTGTCCCTCGGTGCCGCAGTTTCGGTCGCGGGTCTTTTATTGCCTTCTCTCTCTTTTTTTCCGTTCACCCCCCCCCGCCATCTCCCCGCCCCGGGGCCGCCCTTTCGCCGCCGCCGCTCCTCGCCCGCCCCTCGTCGCAGCGCTTCAGTGACAGGGGGTGGGTCCCACGAGCCAAGGCAGGGTCTGTCTGTCCCTCCGGGCAGCTCCTGCAGCACCGCCGCGGCTCTGCTGTCGCGTTTAATTCTATTTTCTATATTTTATTCGCAGCTCCCACCCTGCTCGGCGCAGCCCTTCTGGCCACCCCCGACACCGCCCGTTCAGTGACACGGGGCGGGGGGACCCCTCGGTGCAGCCTTTTATTCTATTTTACTCTATTTCTTGTCTTTTCTTCTGTTCCCACGCTCGCTGCGGCTCTTTCAGACGTGGGCGGTGGGAACCCCTCGCAGCGATTTTAACGCCCCCGCGGAGCCAAGAAATGCCGGGGAACAGTTTCCATGGTCTGGAGCCAACGCACTGCTGCTTCTCCTGCCAGTCCCCGGCACGTTTTTACAAGCAGTGACTCAAATCGTCAGCGCTCGGTGCCCCTGGGCTCCAAACTGCCGGGGCAGGAGCCGCTGGGCACAATCCTGAGATACCTTTCCCCACTCCCCTCATCACGACTGTTGAGCTTTTCTTCACGGAAATAATTCCCCTTGGCAATGAAAGGCTGTATAACAAGGTCATAAGTATTATTATGTCAATATTTGTGCTTGGTTGGGTGCATTCTGGTCCATCTTTTATGGTATTTAAAGTGCAGAACCTCCATCCCAGCCTTATGAGCAGCCACGTGGGACCCCTTCAGCCAAAAACCTCCCCCCGGGTTTCTCAGATGTCACGATGGTGGTCGTACATCCCCAACAGCTTCTCATTTCTTCTGGCTCCAAACTGTGCAGCTTTCACGAGGTGACAGTTTGGAATAATTCTGTCCCCTGCCCGGGTGAGGAGGGGGGTGACAGAGCAGCATCTGGCACCAACCAGGGCCAGCCCATCACAGATCCCTTGGTTGGGAACTCTTAAATATTTGTAAGTAAGCAAGGTGCAAAAAATGGACTTTGTTCCTTCAAAAATGAACCACACTGAGAGTTATTGGAGAACAGCAAAACAGCCAAAGAGCTGTAAACTGAAAACCACGCCTCTGTGGTTGACTCCCGTCCTGTCTGTGGCTCAACAGTTCCCAGAAATCAGCCACCCATTGAGAGCTGCCCTGCGAGGTGAGTACTCCAGAGCAGCCCCTGGGCTGCCAAACTCGGGGTGGTGGGTGCTCCCTGCCCACAGTGAGCCACGGCTGGCACAGGGCTGAGCCCCCACATCATGGTCTTGTCTCTGGGGGGGCTGCAATGACCACCTGATTAATTAAATGTGGCACGTTGAAGGGCAGGGAGGAGTAAACACCAAAGGTCACAGTTTTACAGCTTTTGCTACCATGGGGTTGGTTTGAGTGTCTGCTGCGGGGTTCTGCTGGTTTGTCATTTTTGCTGCCTTGTAAGAGCTTCTTCAGTGAATTTGTTGGGTTTTTTTCAGCCCCTTGTTGCTGACAGGGGTTGCTTCTCGGGAAGAGAAATGAGAAAATCGTGGTGAAAAGAGGTAAATAATGATATAAAAAGAACTTTAATTTGTTTCAGTTGAGTGGAATGAACAGTGATTTTGGGGGGAGATAACCAGCTGGAAACCACGGTGGGCTTGGGAGGGATTGAACCTGGGCAGGAGCTCGGGCTGCACCAGGGGGGGTCTCACAACGTGAACCTTCGGGGGTCCTTTTAGGGGAATTTGTTGAATTTGTACAGCCATCACTGGGAGGTAGAAATTAGTCATCATAAAGGAGCAAAAATGATGGTGGGAGTGGGTGAATCAGTAACTGCACTGGGTCTCTCTTAGATTCAAATTGGTAGTTCAGTTTTGCAAATGTTAAAACCTTCACCAGCCCACTGGTTTCTGGCTCAGAATTGGGTTTGGGAGGGATTAAACCTGAGCAGGAGCTCGGGCTGCCCCAGGAGGGGTCTTACAAGGTGAACATTCGGGGGTCTTTTTAAGGGAATTGGTTGAATTTGTTCAGTCACACTGGGAGGCAGAAATTAAAGTAGGACTGAAATTGTGGCTTGAAATGAGGGGACGGAACTTGTGCACTGAAACTTCTGCCATATCAAGCAGGTCCAGGCACCTGATAGTTTCGTTTATAAAATAACAAGCCCTTCATCTGTAATGATTCCTCCCCCACTTTCGGGCTCAGCTCCAGCTCAGAGCTTGGGCAAGGTCTGCCCTTTATCCTGTTGCACTTCAGAAACCCCCCGGATGAGGAAGCACCCCCCTCTTCTGGCCCATCCTGTGTTTGTTTCTCCTATCAATTTAACCCTCTCAGGGCTCTGGAAACGCTGTTATCTGAGCACTCCTTGAGTTTCCTCCTGCAAACCCCCTCTGAGGGAATCGCTTTGTGCTTTTTTCATGTTTGTTTACCCACAATCAAACCTTTGCAGCTTTCAGAGCTCACTTTGGCAATGCAATATTGCTGTTTTATCAGGACATGTTCCTGATGAGCTTCTGTTGGTCCATTTGGTGCTGGTAATAACTTACACAAGACCCAAGAGGAACAAAAGCTGCTGCCCCTGTTGGTTTGGGGTGCAGGGAACCAGGTCGTGCTCCTGCAACAGTGGACACGGGGGAGGGGGAACCAGAGCGGGGTTTCCTGTGAGCAAAACAAGCTCGTGGGGAACCACAAACAGAAAACCCGAGAAGAAGAGATGCTGTGAACTGTTACAGGCTATTTTCAGTCCTGTGTGTTTTTGCAAAAGGGCCCCCAAAGCACAAACTCTGCTCCGAGCCCTTGGTGCCTCTTCTGAGCCCTGAACAGGCTCCTGTGCCCTGCAAACACTTCAGCTGCCTTTGAGCTTTGAGCTCTCAATGACTTATTTATTTAAAAAAGTGTTTTTAAACTTGTCTTTCTCTTTCCTTTCTGCTTAATTTGTTTGAAGTTGTTTTTTCCTCCTTAATCTTTGTCCCTCCCCTCTCTTTCCCTCCCTTATCTTTTCCCCTCCCTCTGTCCTGTGCTGCCTCCTCTCCCAGATGTGGGTTCAGCCCTGCCCGATGGTGCCCCTTGGCACTACGACAACGCTGAGAGCCAGTGCCAACCCCACAGGGGCTGTCCTGGCTGGCTGGGCTGTGGCCCAGGGGGTCTCAGCTCCCTGCAGGTCCCCTCAGCCTCTCCTCTCCTTCCACCCCAGGCTGCCGAGTGCACCCACCCCACAGAGCCCAGGGAACGTCAGCCCTGGGCCCTGAGGCTTCTCTGCAAGGATGGGGAAAGGAACCCAAAAGCCAAATTCTTCAGGCCAAGAGGAAGCCCTGAATACCTGCAGTGATCCAGAGAAAGAGTCCAAATGTGGTAATGCTGGGAAAACCCCAAACTTTCCGAGGGAGGGCGGGGTGTGGGAAGAACATCTCGCTCCGGGGCGGCACCAGTGGGATGGGGATGGAGCCTTTGGGTGGGTGTGGAGCAGCCCAGGCACAGCTGCACTGAATTCCACACTGTGGAATTCACCTCTGGAGGCTGAAGATCCGTCTCCAGGGCCTCAAACACATCAGTGGCTTTGAAGGACTCCTGAGCCCCCAGAGGTGTCCCTGGATGGGCCTGGGTGGGGCTGGGGATGGACTGAGGGTCCAGCACAGGAGGGCAAAGCAGAGGGGAGAGGAGCCAGGCCATCCTCACCCTGCTCTTTCCTGCTCCAGGGTCCTACAGAACCGAGTCAGACCGGAGAACATCCCCCAAGGTGCCTGTTCTCGCTCTGAGTGTGTCCCTGGGGATCCTCACCTTCAGCCTGCTCATGGCACTGACTGGTGAGTCCCACCCAGGCACCCTCACGGGGAGGATTCCAGGACCTTCCTGGCATCAAGGGAGGCTCCCAAAGTGGGTGACTCCCTTTTTTCCTGCTCTTTGGTCCAGGCACCTGCTCCTCGCTTGGTCACAACATTCCTTTTCCCAAGACAATCATCCCCCAATCTCCTCTGCTAGAAAAAAAAAAAAAACAACAAGGAATCAATCCCATTTTGCTGCTTTTCAGGGCTGCCCATGTGTCTGACTCAGCTTTCTGTGTTTCAGTTCTCAGTGTGAGATGCCAGTTCTCTGAGCCGGAATTCTCCCACGTGTGCCCAGACACCTGGCCTGGTTTCCAAGGAAAATGTTATTATTTTTCTGAGGCTGAGGGCGACTGGAGCACGGGTCGGGAAAGGTGTGAGGCCCTGGGAGCTTCACTGGCCACCATAAGCACCAGGGAGGAACTGGTGAGGACTGGGATGAACTGGTGAGGACTGGGATGAACTGGTGAGGATTGGGCTTGAGCGTCTGCAGCAGCACCGGGGTGGGAAACACAGGGAAACCAAGAGGATAAATCAGCCCCAAAACCCCCCAGGCTGGCCCCAAAGTGCTGCCAGTGCTGGAGCCGGGAGCCAAGCCCTTGGGAAAAGCCCCAGGTCTGGCTGGGGGTGGACACAGGAGGGAAAGAGGAGGTGGGGAAGGCAAGACTGGCCAAAGCCAACGTTTCTTTGCCTTCCAGGCCTTCCTTCTGCGCTATAAAGGCGAAGCAAACCACTGGATTGGGCTGGGAATGAGGGATAACGGCTGGGAGTGGATCAATGGCACGGCCTTGAACGGCAGGTGGGTCCCTGTGTCCGTGCTGGAGCCCCGGGATGGGCCCCAGGGATTTCCTGGAGTCTGGGATGCCCCATCCTGGGATGGGCACCTTCTCCTGCCCCGTGTCCAGGCAGCTCCTGGCTTTCCATGGGGGGCTGGGATGGGCCGAGGTCGCTGCCCCCCAACCCTGATCAGAGGATTAGAGACCCCCCCCCAGCCAAAGCCCTTCTCTGCCGGAGAGGAAATCCCAGCTCTTCTTAATTTTTGGGGGGAGTTTTCTTCCTTTCCTCCCTTTTTCTCACTCTGGTCCCGTTGGCATTGCAGGTTTGAGGTGAGGGGTGGAGGACCCTGTGGGTACCTGAACTATGGGTGGATCAGCTCGTCCCTGTGCCACACGGAGAAGAACTGGATCTGCAGCCACCCCAATGACTATGTCCTGTGGAAGGGGAAATTAAGAGACCCCAAAACAGAGTTTCACCCTAGATCTCCAACCAGATGAGGGAGCTTCACCCCAGCACTGCAACTGGAACTGCTGAGGGAACATCCCAGTTGTCTGGCTGGGAAATTTTCGCTGAATACCTCAAAAATATCTTGTATTGGAAAGCACCTCACAAGGATCATCAAGTCCAACCCTCAGTCCTGCCCAGGCCCATCCCCAGGAGTCACCCCCTGTGCCCCAGAGGATCATCCAAACCCTCCTGGAGCTCTGGCAGCCTTGGGGCTGTGCCCACTGTCCTGGGGAGTCTGGGCAGTGCCCAACCAGCCTCTGGGGGAAGAACCTTTTCCTGGGATCCAACCTGACCCTGCCCTGACACAGCTCCAGCCATTCCCTGGGGTTGGCATCCAGAGGGACCTTGAAAGGTCCTCCAGCAAAGCCTTGGACACTGTCTCCCAGGGCACACTCCTGGAAAAGCTGCAGCCCATGGCCTGGACAGGGTTGCACAGGAAAGCAGGGATGGAGCCGCTTGGCTTATTATTATCTATAGTAATATAAAAGCATAAAAATAACTCTTAAGTATCAGGAACCAACATTATATGACCCTGAGAGAATCTCAAGGGGAGCTCAGCAACTTTAATGCAGACATGGTGAGATGTATCCATGTGTGTGTGAAATTGTTTGGGAGTATTTTTCTCCTGCTCTGTAAACACTTAATTAAAAAGTAGATATAGAGAAAAGTCACTAATAGGAATTTACTGCTGATGTAACAGGGTGCATAAACCATGAAAAAATTGTAATAACATTTTTTTTTGTACCACACGAGGTCCATGCCCGAGTGTGTCAGGTGGAGGCATCATCCAGCTTCCCAACCATGGGCGAGGAGAGCTGGAAAGGGGCTTTTTGGCAAACCAACTTGTGGTCACTGGCACAGATATCAAGATCCTAGCGGTTGCCTTTCAGGGTCCCACACCCTTCATCCACCTCCGGCAGGTCCCCAAACCTGCACGACAAAGGGTTTATTGGCTGAGAGGAGCAAAAAGTGTCCCAGTCCTGCCGCAAAGGAGACAAAGGAGTGTTTCTCTTGCCCTTTTCCTGCACCGTTTCCCGCTGGAGGTGCCCGGCTGTGAGGGCGGTCAGCGCAGTGCAACCTCTCCTCTTCCTCGTCCCCGCCTTCCTCGGCGACGTCACGGGCCCGTCAGAATAAAATGCTCCGGTGGCCAAGAAATCGAGGCGGCGGCGGCGAGCGCGTGTTCCGGGTGCGGATGGGAGCGCCGGGGCTCGGGGAGCAGGAGGGGGCGAAAAGGGAGGTCTGGAGGGTTCGCCCTGCCCTGGGTGGTGGATGTCGGCGGTGCTGGGAGGGGGCTCTGGCGGGCACTGGGGGTGAAGTGTTTCGATCGGTGGCCCCCGGTGGCACAGGACTGGGCTCCCTGCTCCCTGTGGAGGGGAATCCTCAGACGTTCTCTCTTTCTCTCTCCAGGAAAAAGTCATGGAGAGATTCCAGTTACACCTAAGGATCCATGCTTTGTGCCTTCTCTTGAGGCCTGGGATCAGGTACAACAGCGTCTGTTACTACCTCTTGAAGGGTGAGAGGACTTGGGACGAGGCTCAGAATCAGTGCTCCAAGCTCGGGGCCTCCCTGGCCGTGCTCAGTGACAAGGAAATGGTGAGTGAGGGGCTCTGGGGGGTGTGTGGGTGGCAGAGGGGAGGCTGAGGGGGGTTCCTGGCCCGGGGCAGCTCTCACTGCCTGCTCCTCTCTCCCTCTCAGGACCACGTCTTCCGCCTCAATGGCAACCTGGATTACTGGCTCGGGCTGCGGAGACGGGGCGAGAGGTTTCAGTGGGTGGACGGCAGCAGCTACAACTCCTCGTGAGTCCCGGGGGGACGGGCAGGGGATGGGGGGGATGAGACTGCTGGGACTGTCCCTCCTGGGCAGCGCTTGTCTCCTCATCTGCTGGGGGGAATGGGCAGAGACGACCTGTCCTGTTCACAGCCCTGCCCTGTAACAGCGCTGTCTCTGCTCCTCATTGCAGGCTGGAGGTCCTTGGCAATTCAGAGTGTGTGTACCTGGCGGACCATAAACTCAGGAGTGAGGACTGTTCAAAGCAGCTGCTGTATCTCTGCAGCAAACCCCAACCTCACCTGTACTAGAAGTGAGGGAGAAAGGACCTTCTCCATCCTGAAGACTCACAACTTTCCTTCTTCCACTATCACAGAGATGTCCTTCTGCGGGTGATTGTTTACTTTGTGACACATCTCAGCACAACCTCAGGAACCTTGGTGCCTTTTGTCATTGTCACCTCAGTAGCTGGTCTCAAGGAAGTGAACCTGCAGGGACATGATGTGGAAGTGGACGTGTGCCTTTGTGGACTAGGGGTTTCTTTCTCCAGAAGTCTTTCTCATTGTCTATTTATATTGACTTTATATTTATAACAGTTTACATACATAACACTACATGCACTGCATTCAAGCACTATAGTGCTTGAATGTGCGCGTGTGAAGTATTTTTCCATTCCTGAACGCTACTTGAATCAATGAATGTGAATGTACAATGTCCTGATTGTGGCCTGTGGTGGTTTGGGCCAGGCCTTCCTTGGTGACCAGTTTGTAACCAAGGAAGGGTCCAGATTTACCCAGTATTCCCTACGATTTTTACCTAAGCCAGACTATAAGAAGAAAGGAGGAGAGGCCTTCGCTCTTTTTCCTTCCGGTGGCTTGGAGGTGCAGGTTCCCTGCTGTTGGGTCTGCCGTGTTGGGGAGCGAGGCCTGGTTAGGCCTTGCCGACTTTGGGAGGCGGAGGTTGCCGGCGATCGTTCCGGAGCGACTCTCAGTTGTCCCAGGAGAGTAGCGAGGTATTTTCTTTGCTAACTTTTTAGTTGTTAGATATTGGGTCACTAATTGGGATATATATATATATTTTAGTTTAGTTTTGTTCCCTTTCCCTTCCCCCTTCCCTTTTCCCTTGTGAAATTGTATATTTTTAATTGTATATAAGTGTAAATATATTTATATATCTCACTTTGGTTGTTTCTCTCTCATTTCGGGTTTTCTTAGTTTTTTTTCCTCCCTCTTCTCCCTGAGGTTTGGGGGGGGGACTTCTGGTGGTAAGGTTTGGAGACTTGGCAGGGAGCCAGCTTTAAACCATATCAGGCCTTAGCCTACTGTATCGGTGCTGCTGCTCTACTTCTCTCTTCTTCTCCTTTTTTTACATTTATATTAAAGTTTGTAAGACCCCACCGCTGTCCCTCATGTCCTGGTCAGTGCGGGAGCTGCGGGGGCCGCTCACCCTGTGCAGGCGGGGAAAGACCTGAGGGATTGACTGCGGGTGCCAGGATTGCCCCGTTCACCCTGAGGGAGCCAAGATGGCGGAACACATTCACAGAGTCGCCCTCACAGAACTGCCCTCAAAGAGTCGCCCTCACAGAATCACCCTCACAGAATCACCCTCACAGAACTGCCCTCACAGAACTGCCCTCACAGAACTGCCCTCACAGAGTCGCCCTCACAGAACTGCCCTCACAGAACTGCCCTCACAGAGTTGCCCTCACAGAATCACTCTCACAGAATCACCCTCACAGAATCACCCTCACAGAACTGCCCTCACAGAGTCGCCCTCACAGAGTCGCCCTCACAGAACTGCCCTCACAGAACTGCCCTCACAGAACTGCCCTCACAGAGTCGCCCTCACAGAACTGCCCTCACAGAACTGCCCTCACAGAGTCGCCCTCACAGAACTGCCCTTACAGAGTCGCCCTCAGAACTGTCCTCACAGAGTCACCCTCAGAACTGCCCTCACAGAACTGCCCTCACAGAACTGCCCTCACAGAGTCGCCCTCACAGAGTCGCCCTCACAGAACTGCCCTCACAGAACTGCCCTCACAGAATCGCCCTCACAGAACTGCCCTCACAGAGTCGCCCTCACAGAACTGTCCTCACAGAGTCACCCTCAGAACTGCCCTCACAGAACTGCCCTCACAGAACTGCCCTCACAGAGTTGCCCTCACAGAGTTGCCCTCACAGAATCACCCTCACAGAACTGCCCTCACAGAGTCACCCTCAGAACTGCCCTCACAGAAGTGCCCTCACAGAAGTGCCCTCACAGAATCTCCCTCACAGAACCGCCAGTTCCACCCATCGGTGACACCCATTGAGGATGGGGCTAAATGGCTCTTTGACCCATCACTCTTGGCTCCCGTGAGGTGGGTTTAGAGTGAAGGCACCGAAGGGACGGGTGTTGGAATATGTGTGTTTAGTTTAGGAGAGTTTGATTGCAAAGGAAAGCAGGGATGGAGCCGCTTTTTGTTATCTATAGTAATGTAAAAGCATAAAAATAACGCTTAAGTGTAGGGACTGAGATTATATGAGTCTGGAAGGAAGTCATGGGGAACTTGAAAAGATAAATGCAGATGTGGTGATAAATCCGCATGTGTGTGAAATTGCTTGGGAGTATTTTTCTCATGCTCTGTAAATGCTTAATTAAAGAGCAGATATAGAGAAAAGTCACTAATAGTAATTTACTGCTGATGTAATGAGGTGGATAAACCATGAAAAAATTGTAATAAATTTTTTTTTTGTACCGCACGGGGTCCATTGCCCGAGTGTGTCAGGTGGAGGCATCATCCCAACTTCCCAACCGTGGGCGAGGAGAGCTGGAAAGGGGCTTTTTGGCAAACCCACTTGTGGTCACTGTCACAGCCATCAACCTCCAAGCTCTTGCCTTTCAGGGTCCCACAGAAGCCTTTGTCTGGCTCCTGCAGGACCCCAAACCTGCACAATGAAGGGTTTATTGGCTGAGAGGAGCAAAGTGTCCCATGACTCCAGTGTGCCCCATAACCAACCCCAATATGCCCCATAACCGACCCCAACATGCCCCATGACCCCAATGTGCCCCATAACCAATCCCAATATGCCCCATGACCCCAATGTGCCCCATAACCAACCCCAATGTGCCCTGTGACCCGAAGTACCCCATAACCAACCTCAATGTGCCCCATGGCCCCAGTGTGCCCCATAACCAACCCCAACGTGCCCCATAACCAACCCCAATGTGCCCCTTCCCCCAGTGTGCCCCGTGACCCCGATTCTTGGTCTGCAGAGTGTTGCCAGAGGAATAAGAGACCCTTGCATGGACCCCAGCGATGTGTGGACATGGATCGGGGTCTCAAATGAATCAAAGCTGCTTTTTTACCCCCCCAGACCTCGGACACTCACCTGTGGAGGTCATAGGGGGTGTCGTCCACCCACGTCCACTCCTTCTGCCGTGACCTCAACCCGACCCACACCGACCGTGGGCGTCTGCCTGTGACACTCTCGACATTCTCCTGGGACGTGGAAGGGACCAGTTGCTCCAAAAAAATCTCTCTGTGGGTAGTTCCGTGGGGTGCAAAGCCACAGCACAAACCTGACCCCCCAAATCCATGGGACACGAGCGTCCCCATGCTCTGAACCCCAAACCCTCCTGCTGCTGGGAGCCTTTTGCTCCCCTGCTCCCCCTCTAAAAACTCAAGCCTTTTCCTCCCTGTTTACCATTTCTGTCTCGTTCTTGAGCACCACCAGCTCAGAGCCCTGATCTTTGCAGCTTTTCCTGCCCCGAGTCCAGTTTCCCGATTCCTTGGAGAGCCAGTAGCATCTCTCCCCACGAAGCTGCCAGTCCTGGGGGCACAACTTGCAGCCAACAGGGGCTGGAGAGGAGGAAAGGCCACGAATGAGACCCCCCAAAGGTGGGCAAGGTCTTCCCCGACCCCCCAAATGAAAGGCACCAAACCCTCAAGTTATTTCCCAGCGTTGTGGTTTTTCTGCTCTGCCACCACAGAGGAGGAGGAGGAAGAGGGAGAGGAGGGGGAAGAAGAGGAGGAGGAAGAAGTTGGGTGACCATAAGGGCACAGTGGGTGGTTGGGGTGCAGGAAGGGTGGTGAGAAACATCCCCCCTTGGGCTGACCGTGCTCCTCCGGGGAGGTGGGACTGCCAAAAATCGCATGGAAAAGGGAATTCTTCCTTGAAAATGCTCCTTTTTGCCAAAGAACCCTCAATGCAGGGTCTCCTCACAGGAGGAGCCCCCCGAGGTGCCACCTGAGCCTCTCCCAGCAGAGCCAGGTGGGAAGGGGGCTCACCTGGGGGACTCTGCCCCTGGGGCTGGCAGAAGTACCGCACCAGGGATGGGAAGATGCATCGCTCCGTCTGGTTCCTGGCCTGGATCTCAACTCTGCTGTCACTCAGACCTAGAAAGCCCTGAAAAACTGGCAGCAAAGTGAGAAGTTGAAGCCAAACCACAAACCCCACAGAGACAGGTCGGGTTTTGCCCCACAGTTAATGAATTAGGCCCGAAGCCCACGGGTCTGGTCTTGCCCTCCTCTCTCATTTGTGGGGATGATCCAGGTGTGCCCAGAGGGGGTTTTACTCTTGGCTCTCGTGTCTGCACCCCCCCTCCAGGGCCTGAACCACTGCAATTAACCCAGATTTCCGCTCCCAGGCCTCTCCTCGCCGGGGTGTGAGATGGAGATAAGAGCTGGTTACTCACCACTCACATTTCGGAGCACCACCAGCACCAGCAGGACGAGGTGCCCCAGCGCCCCGGCTGTGAGGAGGACTCTGTGCCACCACGGGCACAGGGCAGGAGCTGGAAGAGGCCACATTTAAGCTTAAAAAAACACGAAGAAGATTGGGGGTTTAGAGCACAAAAAAAACCCAAACCCCTGTGCTGAGCTGTGAGTTCGAGCAGAAGTTTCTGGTTGCTTTGCTTCCTCCAAAGCCATAAATCCCCCCTGACAGGGCTCGAGCCAGGGCAGCACCCCCGGGGGGGTTTGGGGGGCTCAGGGGGTGCAGCAGCCTCGGGAGCAGCCTCGAGGACCCAGTGACAGAGGGCAGGACCTGGGAACTCCCAAACGGGCTCAGTTTCCAGCTGGGAGTTGGTGGCTGTGGGTCCTTCCAGCCCTCGACTCCTCCGGGGTCTGGACGGGGCTCAGCCCCTTCCCTGCCCTCCCAGGGGTGGGGGCTCCCCTGGGGCTTCCTGGGGCCCCTTTTGGCCACTGAGTGAAGGGTCTGGGAAACAAAACTGTTCCAGTTCCGGAGATTTTCCAGCTTCTCCTGTCCCTGTCTTGCTCCAGACAAGCCCAGACCCCATTTCAAAGGCCACTCCGTGAGCTTGGAAACCTGAACATGGGGATGGAGAAGCGAAGGGACCCCAAAGGTAATGGACCCAAAACTCTTCCCAGGGCCTGAAATAAGCCTTTTTTCCCCCAAAATACACTCACCAGGACATTTCTCAGCCGGAGGAGGCTCATTCCCAGGATTTCTTAGATTGGCATGACCCATTTCCCCAGCCATGGTGGCTCTGGAGGTCGTTGGCGTGTCCCGAGAGCGACACCAGCCTCGGACACCTTCTCACCTCGTGACCAACGCGCGTCCGGTCCCGGGAAATGGCACCAACCAGGCCTTTTATGTTTCTTTGGTTTTTTTTAAAACATATCTCTGTATTCTGCAGCCTCCCCTGTGCCCGGGGAAAGGGGTCCTGTCCCCAGCCAGGAGGAGGAGGGGGGGGCTCACCTGGAAGTGCAGGAACATGTGCAGGGTTGGGCTGAACAGGTGGAAAATTATTAAATTAATCAAATTAATTTATTAAATTAACTCAAAAAGCCTGTGATTGAGGTTTTTAGGGGATGAGGCTGAAACGTGACAGGTGATATTTGGTGTTGCTTCCCCAAGAAGCATCTCTCAGGGATGGGGTGGTGGCAGAAATGCTGCAGCCATGGCAGGGTCAGAACCAGGCAGGGCAGGAGGAGCTGACACCCCCCGGTCATTTAGGGGGGTTTTTCCCCTCTTGTCTGACACCCCCTCGTCCCCCTCAGCCCCATCAGTCAGGACACGGCCCCGTTCAGGGGGGGGCACTGGGGGATCCTTTGCCCCCCTCGTGCAGCTCCAAGTGCCTGAGGGGCCAAGTCCTGGTTTCTGAGACTGCCCTCACAGCTGGTTTTGGGGTCCCACGGGGCCGCTCGCCCCGTGCCCGGACAGGACCAAGGGAATGTCCGCGGGAATTCCCGGCTCGTGCGCATCCCCTGCCGGCCATGGCGCACAAACGCACCCGATTTCCCTCCGAAAAGGGGGAAAAAACGGCCCCAAATCCCTTTTGCCCGAGCGGAGGAGGGGGACAGAGTTCGGGCAGAAAAGTCCAAAAATCGGTTTTGCCCAGCTCGGGAAGCACAAAACAAACAGAAGTGAGGTGGGACCCCCCCAGCAGCACTTGTGTGCCATCGCCCTCCCTGAAGCCCTCCAGGGTGACTGGGCAGACTGGGAGCACTGGGAAGCAGCCCCAGGTCACCCCTGGGAGCTCCAAGGCTCCGACATTTGGGATGGAATCATGGAAAGTGGCAGGGGGAGCAGGGGAAGGGACAGGGGGGGATTTCCCAAGGTTTTATTGCAAAAGTGAACGTGGGATCTCCTGCTTCACTCCGGATAGGCAGCATCATACATGTATACAGGGTTAGGGTACAACTGTGGACTGTTAGAGAAGCAGGATGAGTTCTGGGACGGTTCTAGAAGGACAAAGAAACCCAGAGTCCCCAGTTCAGGCAGCCACACATGGGCTTCCACATCATCTCCCCTCCCTGCAGGCTCATCTCCTTCACACCAGGCACTGAGGTGACCCTGAGGGGTTGCACTGAGGTATCCGTGGCACCAGGCTCTGAGGTGATGCAGATAAACAACTGCAAGGCAGGTGGAGAGCTGAGGTGTGCTGGGAGAAGATGCAAAGCTGTTGAGTCTTCAGGATGGAGGAAAAGATCCCCTTCCCACCGTTTATTCCAGGCGATCCTGGGGTCTGTTGCAGAGGTAAGGCCGCTGAGCCGAGCAGAGCCCGCTCCTGAAGCGCCGGTGGCCCAGGTACACACACTCGGAGTCACCCAGGACGGGGACCCTGCAAGGAGGGGCAGAGACAGCGCTGGCACCACAGGGGGGGACAGTCTGTGCCCCCCTGTCCCCCCAGGACTCACGAGGAGTTGTAGCTGCTGCCGTCCACCCACTGCAGCCGCTCGCCCCGTCTCCGCAGCCCGAGCCAGTAATCCAGGTTGCCATTGAGGCGGAAGAGGAAGCCCTGGGAGGGAGAGAGGAGTGGGTAGTGGGAGCTGGCCTGGGCCAGGAACCCCCCTCAGCCTCCCCTCTGCCACCCACACACCCCCCAGAGCCCCTCACTCACCATCTCATTGTCGCTGAGCACAGCCAGGGAGGCCCCGAGCTCGGAGCACCAATTCTGAGCCTGCTCCCAGGTCCCCTCATCCCTCGAGAGGTAGTAACAGACCCTGTTGTACCCGACCCAGGCCTCGGGACAGGCCAGAAACTCTGGAATCCCAGGCGTGACTGGAATCTCTCCAAGTCTTCTCACTGAAGAAGGAAAGGGAGAATGTCTGAGGATTCCCCTCCACAGGGAGTCCAGCCCTGTGCCCAGAGCTGCTTCTGAGCTGAGGCAGCTGCTCCTTCCTCACCTGCCAGCACAGCCACGTCCACCACCAAAGCCAGGAGCAGGAGCAGAACCACTGCCAGGGCGAGATGCCCCAGGAGCCTCGTGCCTGGGGCAGGAAAGAGCCGTGAGGACGGGGCTCACATCCCTCACAGGGCTCTTCCAGACCCCTGGGGCAGCCTCACACCTGCCAGCCCTGTCCTCGTGGGGTGACACTGTCCCCTCCCCACAGGACACAGGGGTGGCCCTGCAATCACCCAGAAGGCGTTTTCTTGTTTGCTGATCAATCCTGGGGACCCAGGGGCTCCTCCACAATCCCATCCCCGGAGCAGAATCCACCCTCCACGTCCGAACTCGCCCTCTCTCTGCCTTGTGACAAGCTGCATCTCGAGGCATCAGTGGTGCTGGCAAAGCCTCTTTCAGCCCAGGCCAGGGGGTGGTTTTACCACCACTGTTGAGGCAGAGTGGAGAGACCATGATGAGAGGACACGGCTGGGCCCTGTGGGACACTCGGGCTCAGGAAGGCGATGCCAGCAAAGTCCTGCCCTGTCCGTTCACAGTGACCTGTGGAGAACAAACGGGAGCTCAGGGTCCAGCTCCTGCAGCCTCAGCTCCATCCCCGGTCCCCTCATGGGCCCTTCCCAACCCGGGAACAGCCCCTGCCCTGGCACTTTGGAGCGTTTCCAGGAGAGGATTCTGTTTACTGGCTGGGATATACTGGTTTATGAAAGGGAGGTGGTTACACCACTATGCAAGTCCGGGCTGTCCTAGCGGCCTCTCACAGAATCATCGACCAGGTTGGAAAAGACCTCCGAGATCACCAAGCCCAACCCTGTATCCAACCCCACCGTGCTTCCCAGATCATGGCACTGATGCCACATCCAGTCTCACCTTCAACACCGCCAGGGACAGGGACTCCAGCCCCTCCCTGGGCAGCCCATTCCAATGGCTGATTACTCACTCTGCAAAGAATTCCCGCCTAACATCCAACCTAAACCTCCCCTGGCACAGCTTGAGACCGCGCCCTCCTGTCCTACTGCTGGTTCCTGGGAGAAGAGCCCGAAGCCCACCCAGCTCCCCCCTCCTGTCAGGGAGTTGTAGAGAGTGAGGAGGTCTCCCCTGAGCCTCCTCCTCTCCAGGCTGAGCCCCCCCAGCTCCCTCAGCCTCTCCTCAGAGGACCTGTGCTCTCACTGCGTTAAGGAACCATTTGGGCTGAACGGGACCCCAAATCCACCTTTAAAACGCGGGGAAGGACCAAACCGCCAGAACCCCCGAGCGCCTCCAGCCCCAGGAGAAGCGAGCGCGGGTCTCACCTGGGCCGGGGCCGCGTCCGAGCTCCGCCGCCGCCTCACCGGGGTCCGGACACTGCCGTCGCTCCCGGTGCTGCCACGACTCCGAGGACTCCGTGGACGAGAACTCCGTGGACTCCTTCGTGGGCGTGACCCACTCTCACGGCCGTGACCAATCAGCGCGCGGGAGCCAAGAGTGACGGGTCAAACAGCCAATAGCGAGGCTTTGGCCCCGTCTGCAGTGGGTGCCCCCGATTGGTGGAACCGTGAGGGCGTTCCGCCATCTTGGCTCCCTCAGGGCGAACGTGCCCCCCTACCCGGCACCCGCGAACTTTCCCTCGGTGGGTCGATCCACAGGGGGAACACGGGAGGGGCGGGGGGACGACGAGGAACACGGGGACACGGCGCTGACCCAGGGATGCGGCGCGATGAGCGATCGGGCTACGCGGGGCCGGCGCTGAGACCCGGTGAGAGCCACCGGGGGCCACCGATCGAAACACTTCACCCCCAGCGCCCGCCAGAGCCCCCTCCCCAGAACCGCCGACACTCTCCACTCAGGGCAAGGCGAACCCTCCAGACCCCCCTTTTCGCCCCCTCCCGCTCCCGGAGCCCCGGCAGGACCGAGCGGATCCCACTTGCCCCTGGACCGCACCTCGTGGCGGGAGAGGGCGGTCCCGCCCTCCGCCGGGGCGGGCGGCCAGAGCCCGGCTCCCAGCACACACTCTCCACCCAGGGCAAGGCGAACCCTCCAGACCCCCCTTTTTGCCCCCTCCCGCTCCCCGAGCCCCGGCAGCACCGAGCGGATCCCACCTGCGCCTGGACCGCCGAAGACGGCCGGCTCCGCCCCCCCCGCGTGGCGGCTCTGTTTACATGGGGAACACGGGAGGGGCGGAGGGACGAGGAGGAACACGGGGCTGACCCAGGGATGCGGCGCGATGAGCGATCGGGCTGCGCGGGTCCGGCGCTGAGACCCGGTGAGAGCCACCGGGGGCGGCCACTTCACCCCCAGTGCCCGCCAGAGCCCGCTTCCCAGGACGACCAGCACCCCCCGGCCCAGGGCAGGGCGAGCCCTCCAGACCCCACTTTTCGCCCACACCCACTCCCCGAGCCCCGGCAGCACCGAGCGGATCCCACCTGCGTCTGGACCTCCGAGGACGGCCGGCTCCGCCGGCTCCGCCCCCCCGCCGGCTCCGCCCCCCCGCCGGCTCCGCCCCCCGCCGGCTCCGCCCCCCGCCGGCTCCGCCCCCCCCGCCGGCCTCCGCCCCCCAGCCGGATCCGCACCCACGCCGCTTCCGCGCCCCCCCGCAGGCTCCGCCCCCGCCGGCTCCGCCCCCCGCCGCTCCGCCCCCCCCGCCGGCTCCGCCCCCGCCGGCCTCCCCCGCCACCCCCCGACGGCTCCCGCCCCCCCTCCGGCTCCGGCCCAACCCCGCCGGCTCCGCCCCCCGCCGGCTCCGCCCCCCGCCGGCTCCGCCCCCCCGCCGGCTCCGCCCCCCCGCCGGCTCCGCCCCCCTCCGCCGGCGCCGGCCGGCTCCAGAGGGGACACGGGAGGGGCGGGGGGACGACGAGGAACACGGGGACACGGCGCTGACCCAGGGATGCGGCGCGATGAGCGATCGGGCTACGCGGGGCCGGCGCTGAGACCCGGTGAGAGCCACCGGGGGCCACCGATCGAAACACTTCACCCCCAGCGCCCGCCAGAGCCCCCTCCCCAGCACCGCCGGCACTCCCCTTTTTCGCCCCCTCCCGCTCCCCGAGCCCCGGCAGCACCGAGCGCATCCCACCTGCGCCTGGACCACACGCGCTCTCCTTCTCCCTTCTCCCTTCTTCTTCTCCTTCTCCTTCTCCTCTCCCTTCTCCTCCTTCTTCTCCGCCGCCTCTTCCCCCCCGCGTTTGGGTACCTGCCGTTCAGTGCTGGCGGGCGGGTGTAACAGGAGCCGTTCCCGGGACGGCCCCCTCACACCGAGGGGGTGGTGGCGGCTGCGGCACCGGGCGAGAGGAGAGGAGGGACTTCGGACCACACAGAGCTTTTTGCCAGTCCAATTTGGGGGAGGCGGAGGGGGCCTGGCGGGCTGGGGGGTCCCCGGACCGGCAGGAGGGCGGGTGGGACAGTCCTGCTCGGAGGGTCGTGGGTGAGCGAATCTCCCCGGGAATACCCCTGGGACTGTGTGTAGGTGGCTCAGGAAAAGTAGGGAGTGAAAGGCTTGCCCTAATCATTTTAGTGGGGCAGAAGCTTGTGTGCCCTTATGAGGTTGTGAGCTGTGCTGGTGGAGGTACGTGCCCTTCCTAATAACCCCCAGTGCCTCCCAGTATCCCCCAGATCCTCCCAGCGTGCCCTGGTGCCCTCCAAGTGCCCAACAATACTCCCTAGTGCCTCCCAGCCCAGATCCAGTGTTCCCCAGTGCCCACCAGTCTTTTCCCATTCCCCCCCTGTGCCCTCTAATGCTCCCTGATGCTCCCCAATGCCTCCCAGTACCTGCTGGGGGGCAAGGGAGGGAAATGAGGTCCCCCGGGATGTGTTTTCCCTGGGATGGAACACAGGAAGGGAAGGGGCTGTTGGTGCTGACCAGGACGTGAGGGACAGCAGTGGGGTCGTACAAACTTTAATACAAATGAGTAAAAAAGGAGAAGAAGAGAGAAGCACAGCGGCAGCACTGATACAGTAACTCTGCTGAGGCCACAATCAGGACATCCCAGGTTCACATTCATTGATTCAAGTAGCATTCAGCAATGGAAAAATACTTCACACGCGCACATTCAGGCACTCTAGTGCTTGAATACAGTGCATGTAGTGTAAACAGAGTATAAATATAAAGTAAATATAAATAGAGAATGAGGAAGACTTCTGGAGAAAGAAACCCCTAGTCCACAAAGGCACACGTCCACTTCCACATCATGTCCCTGCAGGTTCACCTCCTTGAGACCAGCTACTGAGGTGACAATGACAAAAGGCACCGAGGTTCCTGAGGTTGTGCTGAGATGTGTCACAAAGCAAATGTTCATCTGTGGAAGGACATCCCTGGGCTAGTGGAAGAAGGAAAGCTGTGAGTCTTCAGGATGGAGAAGGTCCTTTCTCCCTCACTTCCATTACAGGTGGGGTTGGGGTTTGCTGCAGAGATACGCCCGCTCTGTTGAACAGTCCTCACTCCTGAGTTTATGGTCCGCCAGGTACACACACTCTGAATTGCCAAGGACCTCCAGCCTGCAATGAGGAGCAGAGACAGCGCTGTTACAGGGCAGGGCTGTTAACAGGACAGGTCGTCTCTGCCCATTCCCCCAGCAGATGAGGAGACAAGCGCTGCCCAGGAGGGACAGTCCCAGCAGCCTCATCCCCCCCATCCCCTGCCCGTCCCCCCGGGACTCACGAGGAGTTGTAGCTGCTGCCGTCCACCCACTGAAACCTCTCGCCCCGTCTCCGCAGCCCGAGCCAGTAATCCAGGTTGCCATTGAGGCGGAAGACGTGGTCCTGAGAGGGAGAGAGGAGGTGGTCCTGGGAGGGAGAGAGGAGCGGGCAGTGAGAGCTGCCCCGGGCCAGGAACCCCCCTCAGCCTCCCCTCTGCCACCCACACACCCCCCAGAGCCCCTCACTCACCATTTCCTTGTCACTGAGCACGGCCAGGGAGGCCCCGAGCTTGGAGCACCGATTCTGAGCCTCGTCCCAAGTCCTCTCACCCTTCAAGAGGTAGTAACAGACGCTGTTGTACCTGATCCCAGGCCTCAAGAGAAGGCACAAAGCATGGATCCTTAGGTGTAACTAGAATCTCTCCATGACTTTTTCCTGGAGAGAGAAAGGGAGAACGTCTGAGGATTCCCCTCCACAGGGAGCAGGGAGCCCAGTCCTGTGCCCAGAGCTGCCTCTGTGCTGAGGCAGCTGCTCCTTCCTTACCTGACAGCACAGCCACGGCCACCACCAAAGCCACGTTCAGAAGCACAGACAACACCAGGAATGCAGTCAGCACTTGGTGGGATGTGAACCAATTGACTAGAGCTGGAAAGAGCCACTGGCTGTGAGGACGGAGCTGTCCTGAGCAGGCCCAGCCCTCACATCCCCCCCAGCCAACACCAGAGCAGCCAGAAGTGTCGGCACCAGCCACTGACGGGGCCGAGAGGCCTCTTCCATGCACCTGGAGCAGCCTCACACTTGCCAGCCCTGCCCTGGTGGGGCAACACTGTCCCCTCTCTACAGGACACAGGTGGCCCTGCACTCACCCTGACATTTCCCGAGGATCATTTTGTGTATATTCCTTTTTTCTGTTCTGTCCCGGAGACTCAGGGACGCCTCTGCATTCCTACCATTCCAGTTGCTTCCACTCTCCATATCTTGAATCACTGCAAAGTTAGAAGAGGGACAAGTTGCAACTTGAACCTGAGGCATCGCTGGGGGTGAAAAAAACCCTCTTTGAGTGCAGATTTAACAGGAGCACTGTGTCAGATTGTAGAGAATACATCGAGAACAGTCCAGAGAGGGGGATTGTGCCCAGGGGCTCCTGCCCGGCCAGTTCGGAGCCCAGGGACACTGAGCGCTGACAATGAGTCACTGCACGCCAACTATGCCAAGGACTGGAAAGAAAAGCAGCAGCGCGGTGGCTCCAGCCACGGGAGGGCAGGATCGGATCTGTCATTCAATCCAAGAATGGTTTGGGACGGGAGGGACCTTCAAGCCCATCCCATCCCCCCGCTGCCCCGGACACCTCGCAGCAGCCCCGGTGGCTCCAAGCCCGGTCCCACCTGGCCGGGAACACTCCCGGGGACGGGGCAGCCAACTCTGTCCGACCGGGAGGCACCGGGACGATCCCCGACGGGGGCGCACGGTTGGGTACAGGGACAGCCCCGCCGGCCCGATCGGTGGCTCCCCCCGCTCCCCTCTCCCCGACCCCGCGGCCGATGCGGCGCGATGAGCGATCGGGCTGCGCGGGGCCGGCGCTGAGACCCGGTGAGAGCCACGGGGGGCGGCCTCTCGAAACACTTCACCCCCGGCGCCCGCCAGAGCCCGCTCCCAGCACCGCCGACATCCTCTACCCAAGGCAGGGCGAACCCTCCAGACCCCACTTTTCGCCCCCTCCCGCTCTCCGAGCCCCGGCAGCACCGAGCGGATCCCACCTGCGCCTGGACAACACCTCGTGGCGGGAGAGGGCTGTCCCGCCCTCCGCCGGCGTGGGCGGCCGAGCCCGCTCCCAGCACCGCCGACATCCTCCACCCAGGGCAGGGCGAACCCTCCAGATCCCCCTTTTCGCCCCCTCCCGCTCCCCGAGCCCCGGCAGGACCGAGCGCATCCCACCTGCGCCTGGACCGCCCGCGCCCCGCGCCCTTCCCGCCCGGCTCCGCCTCCGCCGGCGGTTTCGCCTCTACCTCCGCCGGTGGGTCGCTCCACAGGGGGAACACCGGAGAGGCGGGGGGACGAGGAGGAACAGGGGGACACGGGGGTGACCCAGGGATGCGGCGCGATGAACGATCGGGCTGCGCGGGGCCGGCGCTGAAGCTGCAGCGAGAGCCACCGGGGGCCACCGATCGAAACACTTCACCTCCAGTGCCCACCAGAGCCCCCTCCCAGCACCGCCGACATCCACCACCCAGGGCAGGGCGAACCCTCCAGACCTCCCTTTTCGCCCCCTCCTGCTCCCCGAGCCCCGGCGCTCCCATCCGCACCCGGAACACGCGCTCGCCGCCGCCGCCTCGATTTCTTGGCCACCGGAGCATTTTATTCTGACGGGCCCGTGACGTCGCCGAGGAAGGCGGGGACGAGGAAGAGGAGAGGTTGCACTGCACTGACCGCCCTCACAGCCGGGCACCTCCAGCGGGAAACGGTGCAGGAAAAGGGCAAGAGAAACACCCCTTTGTCTCCTTTGCGGCAGGACTGGGACACTTTTTGCTCCTCTCAGCCAATAAACCCTTTGTCGTGCAGGTTTGGGGACCTGCCGGAGCTGGATGAAGGGTGTGGGACCCTGAAAGGCAACCGCTTGGATGTTGATATCTGTGTCGGTGACCACAAGTTGGTTTGCCAAAAAGCCCCTTTCCAGCTCTCCTCGCCCATGGTTGGGAAGCTGGATGATGCCTCCACCTGACACACTCGGGCATGGACCTCGTGTGGTACAAAAAAAAATGTTATTACAATTTTTTCATGGTTTATCCACCTCATTACATCAGCAGTAAATTCCTGTTAGTGACTTTTCTCTATATCTACTTTTTAATTAAGCATTTACAGAGCAGGAGAAAAATACTCCCAAACAATTTCACACACACATGGATACATCTCACCATGTCTGCATTAAAGTTGCTGAGCTCCCCTTGAGATTCTCTCAGGGTCATATAATGTTGGTTCCTGATACTTAAGAGTTATTTTTATGCTTTTATATTACTATAGATAATAATAAGCCAAGCGGCTCCATCCCTGCTTTCCTGTGCAACCCTGTCCAGGCCATGGGCTGCAGCTTTTCCAGGAGTGTGCCCTGGGAGACAGTGTCCAAGGCTTTGCTGGAGGACCTTTCAAGGTCCCTCTGGATGCCAACCCCAGGGAAGGGCTGGAGAGGTGCCAGGGCAGGGTCAGGTTGGATCCCAGGAAAAGGTTCTTCCCCCAGAGACTGGTTGGGCACTGCCCAGACTCCCCAGGACAGTGGGCACAGCCCCAAGGCTGCCAGAGCTCCAGGAGGGTTTGGATGATCCTCTGGGGCACAGGGGGTGACTCCTGGGGATGGGCCTGGGCAGGGCTGAGGGTTGGACTCCATGATCCTTGTGAGGTGCTTTCCAATACAAGATATTCTGGGGTTCAGTGCAAATATCCCAGCCAGACAACTGGGATGTTCCCCCAGCAGTTCCAGTTGCAGTGCTGGGGTGGAGCTCCCTCATCTGGCCGGAGATGCAGAGTGAAAGTCCTAGAGAATTTTGAGGTATCTTAATTTCACATTCCAGAGTTCATAGTCATCGAGGCGGCTGCAGATCCAGTTCTTCTCCCTGTGGCACAGGGACGAGCTGATCCACCAGTCATCGAGGTACCCGCAGGGCCCCCCACCCCTCACCTCAAACCTGCAAATGCCAACGGGACCAGAGTCAGAAAGGGAAAAGGTAAAAAAGAAAACTCCCCCCCAAAAAATTAAGAAGAGCTGGGATTTCCTCTCCGGCAGAGAAGGGCTTTGGCTGGGGGGGGTCTCTAATTCTCTGATCAGGGTTGGGGGGCAGCGACCTCGGCCCATCCCAACCCCCCATGGAAAGCCAGGAGCTGCCTGGACACGGGGCAGGAGAAGGTGCCCATCCCAGGATGGGGCATCCCAGACTCCAGGAAATCCCTGGGGCCCACCCCGGGGCTCCAGCACGGACACAGGGACCCACCTGCCGTTCAAGGCCGTGCCATTGATCCACTCCCAGCCGTTATCCCTCATTCCCAGCCCGATCCAGTGGTTTGCTTCGCCTTTATAGCGCAGAAGGAAGGCCTGGAAGGCAAAGAAACGTTGGCTTTGGCCAGTCTTGCCTTCCCCACCTCCTCTTTCCCTCCTGTGTCCACCCCCAGCCAGACCTGGGGCTTTTCCCAAGGGCTTGGCTCCCGGCTCCAGCACTGGCAGCACTTTGGGGCCAGCCTGGGGGGTTTGGGGCTGGTTTTATCCTCTTGGTTTCCCCGTGTTTCCCACCCCGGTGCTGCTGCAGAGGCTCAAACCCATTCCTCACCAGTTCATCCCAGTCCTCACCAGTTCCTCCCAGTCCTCACCAGTTCCTCCCTGGTGCTGATGGTGGCCAGTGAAGCTCCCAGGGCCTCACACCTTGCCCGACCCGTGGTCCAGTTGCCCTCAGGCTCAGAAAAATGATAACATTTTCCTTGGAAACCAGGCCAGGTGTCTGGGCACACGTGGGAGAATTCCAGCTCAGGGAAAGGGGGTCTTGCACTGAGAACTGAAACACAGAAAGCTGAGTCAGACATGTGGGCAGCCCTGAAAAGCAGCAAAATGGGTTTGATTCCTTGGGGTTTTTTTCCAGCAGCTGGAAGAGGGAAACTGGGGATGATTCTCTTGGGAAAAAGTGTGACTGAGGGAGGAGCAGATGCCTGGAGCAAAGTGCAGGGAAAAAAGGGAGTCACCCACTTTGGGAGCCTCCTGGGATGCTGGGAATGCCCTGGCATCCTCCCATCTCCCAAAACGGAGGCGCCTGGCCCGGATCCTCCCCCAGGAGGTGCCTGGGTGGGACTCACCAGTCAGTGCCACGACCAGGCTCAAGGTGAGGATCCCCAGGAACACACTCAGAGCGAGGAGAACACGCACCTTGGGGGATGTTCTCTGGTCTGACTTGGTTCTATAGGACCCTGGGGCAGGAAAGAGCAGGGTGAGGATGGCCTGGCTCCTCTCCCCTCTGCTTTGCCCTCCTGTGCTGGACCCTCAGTCCATCCCCAGCCCCACCCAGGACAGGGACCCCTCTGGGGGCTCAGGAGGGCAGGAGAGCTGAGTGGGGTCCTTCAGAGGCACCAACGTGTGTTTGAGGTCCTGTAGACTGATCTTCAGCCTCCAGAGGTGAATTCCACAGTGTGGAATTCAGTGCAGCTGTGCCTGGGCTGCTCCACACCCACCCAAAGGCTCCATCCCCATCCCACTGGTGCCGCCCCGGAGCGAGATGCTCTTCCCACCCCCTGCCCTCCCCCAGAGCATTTGGGGTTTTCCCAGCATTACCCCATTTGCACTGTTCCTCTGGATCACTGCAGGTTTTCAGGGCTTCCTCTTGGCCTGAAGAATTTGGCTTTTGGGTTTCTTTCCCCATCCTTGCAGAGAAGCCTCAGGGCCCGGGGCTGTCGTTCCCTGGGCTCTGTGGGGTGGATGCACTCGGCAGCCTGGGGTGGAAGGAGAGGAGAGGCTGAGGGGACCTGCAGGGAGCTGAGACCTCCTGGGCCACAGCCCAGCCAGCCAGGACAGCCCCTGGGGGGCACTGACGCACAAGGTGAATCAGCCTCTGGCACGGGTGGTGGGTCACAAAGGACAGAGGGACAGGAAAAGAGAGGGGATTTGCAGGAGGAAAGCTCAAGGATGTGCTCAGATGCAGCATTTCCAGAGCAGTGAGAGGGTTAAATTGGTAGGAGAAAGAAACGAATATAGGATGAGGCAGAAGGGGTGGTGTTCCAGCACCCTTGGAGGTTTCCCAAGGACAAAGCCCAGACCTTATCCAAGCTCTGAGCTGGGTCTGAAGCTAAAACAAGTATGGCATGGCAATGACATGACTGGTGAAGGGTTTCCTATTTCAAAAACTAAAGTATCCCAGTCACAGTTTAAGATTACAGAAGCCCCAGTGCACAAAGTCAGCCCCCTCATTTCAAGCCAAAATTTCAGTCCTACTTTAATTTCTGCCTCACAATGTTGACTGTACAAATTCAACAAATTCCCCTAAAAGGACCCCCAAAGGTTCACGTTGTGAGACCCCCCCTGGTGCAGCCCGAGCTCCTGCCCAGGTTCAATCCCTCCCAAGCCCACCGTGGTTTCCTCCAGCTCCCCCCAAAATCACTGTTCATTCCACTCAACTGAAACAAATTAAAGTCCTTTCTGTCATATCATTATTTGCCTCTTTGCAGCACGTTTTGCTCAATTCTCTTCCCGAGAAGCAACTCTGTCAGCAACAAGGGGCTGAAAAAAACCCAACAAAATCACTGAAGAAGCAGCAAAAATGACAAACCAGCACAACCCCGCAGAAGACACTCAAACCAACCCCACGGTAGCAAAAGCCTCACTAAACCCAGCTGTAAAACTGTGACTTTTGGGGTTTATTCCCCCCTTCCCTTCAACGTGCTACGTTTAATTAATCAGGTGGTCATTGCAGCCCCCCCGGAGACAAGACCATGATGTGGGGGCTCAGCCCTGTCCCAGCCATGGCTCACTGTGGGCAGGGAGCACCCACCACCCCGAGTTTGGCAGCCCAGGAGCTGCTCTGGAGTACTCACCTCGCAGGGCAGCTCTCAGAGACTGGGATATCTCCCGGTAGGGTGTTTTTAGTCACAAACTAGCTTCAACCAGCTCCAGCAGCTTCTCAGTGTCGTTCCCAGGGCATCAGGAAATGTTGCTTCCCATTGGCTGCCGGGGCTCTCTGACGCTTCCCATTGGCTGCCGGGGGCTCTCCGACGCTTCCCATTGGCTGTTTTTCGATCCCCCCGCCCTGGCTCTGCCGTGCGGATGTGAAATGGGATATGTGTGACTCGCGGGTCTGGCTGCCCTCCTCGGCCGCCGCCGAGCTGGTCTGGCTGCCTTCTCCACCGCCGCGGGCTTTATCTTTCCTCGCCGTTTTACTGTTTATTGCCTTCCCGGGCCGCGTGCCCCGACCAGCGCCAACAGCCTCACCTGTTCCCCTCCTCCATCCCGGCTCTCGGAGCCTTGGAGCTCCCGGGGGTGACGAGGGAGCGATTATGTGAGGGCGACTCTGTGAGGGAGATTCTGTGAGGGAGATTCTGTGAGGACAGTTCTGTGAGGGCGTTTTGCCATCTTGGCTCCCTCAGGGCTCCTTCAGCCACCCCGGCACCCACAGACATTCCCTCGGGCCTTTCCCTGCCCAGCACGGGGCGAGCGGCCCCCGCAGCTCCCGCCCCGACCAGGACACAGGGATAGCCGTGGGGTCGTACAAACTTTAATGCAAATGGGTAAAAAAGGAGAAGAAGAGAGAAGCACAGCAGCAGCACTGATACAGTAACTCTGCTGAGGCCACAATCAGGACATTGTACATTCACATTCACAGTTTCTTATAGCTTTCAGCAAGGGAAAAATACTTCACATGTGCACATTCACCACTATAGTGCTTGAATATAGTGCATACAGTGTTATGGATGTAAACTCTTAGGGTGTAAATATAAAGTAAATATAACTAGAAGATGAGGAAGACTTCTGGAGAAAGAAACCCCTAGTCCACAAAGGCACAAATCCACTTTCACATCATGTCCCTGCAGGTTCACCTCCTTGAGACCAGCTACTGAGGTGACAATGACAAAAGGCACCGAGGTTACTGAGGTAGTGCTGAGAGGAAACCTCCCCCTGTCCCACTCCAGCGCTGCCCGGCGCCTGTGGCTCCGCTGCATCCCCCCCTCCTGAGTCCCCCTTTCCAGGGAGAAACAGATGGGGGGGATGGAGGGGATGGACAGGGGAAAACGGGACACTAGGGAAAAAAATTCCAACATCTCTCTTCAAACCCAGGACAATATTAAACAGGACCGGATCCCAACTGGATGCAGCTCCATTCCCACCACTCTCTGGGCCCAACATTCCAACCAGTTCCTAACCCAGCACAGAGGGCCCTGTCCAGGCCATGGGTTGCAGCTTTTCCAGGAATGTTGCCTGGGAGACAGTGTCCAAGGCTTTGCTGGAGGACTTTTCAAGGTCCCTCTGGATGCCGACCCCAGGGAAGGGCTGGAGCGGTGCCAGGGCAGGGTCAGGTTGGGTCTCAGGAAAAGATTTTTCCCTCAGAGACTGGTTGGGCACTGCCCAGGCTCCCCAGGTGGGCGACCTCGGGGTGGGGGAACACCTCCCTGGGACCCCCCTGTGCCAGCCTGGACGGCACCTTCAGGGAGCTGAGGAGGATCCTGTGCCCCCCGCGAGGTAACCCCCCACCCCTCGGGGGTCCCATCGATGCCCCCTCCCCAAACTTAAGCCAGGCTGGAGCCTCCCCCTGTCCTCCCACGGTGCCTCAGCGCGCCGGGGTCCGTCCGTCCGTCTGTCTGTCTGTCCCACAGAGGCCGAGGGGTGCAGGCTCTGCCCCGTGGGCTGGATGCTGGGCAGCACCAAGTGCTACTGGGTCTCGGAAAGGATGAACTCGTGGCACGGGAGCCGGGAGGACTGCGGGGCCCGCGGGGCCGCGATGGCGATGCCGTGGGACAAGGACGAGCTGGTGAAGGGACCAAGGGGACAGAGGGGCTGGAGGCACCCCAGGGGAGGGCGAAGGGCTCCCCAGAAGCCTGGGATCACACCCCTCATTCCCAAATTCCCCGCGGTGCCCGTGGCAGACCGGGGGGGAGGGACATGGGTCTGGCTCGGTCCCTGGGTGAGGACGGAGCCTATTTTGGGGGGACCATCCCCGGCCCGGCAGCGCCACCACTGCCCCTTTCCCCGGGCCAGGATTCCCTCAATGAGACCCTGAGGAAACCCACGCGCCACTTCTGGATCGGGCTCTCGGTGCCCGCGCCCGGGATGGGCTGGACGTGGGTGAACGGCTCCCGCCCGGACTGGAGCCGGTGAGGAGCGCTGGGGGGTCGGGGTGGGCACCCCCCTGTCCCCCGAGGGCCCCCCGGGGGTGACACGGGCCCCCTCCCGCACCCGCAGGTTCCCGCAGGACCTCGGGGAGGGTCCCGGAGCCTGCGGGGCGCTCAAGGGGGACAGGATCGACCCCCGCGCCTGCGACACGGGGCTGCAGTGGATCTGCCAGACGGAGTCCGCCCGGATCTGAGAGTCTCCATCGCACCCAAAACCCACCGTTAATGCGGGAAAAAATCCCGATTCCCGCGGGTTCGGCACCCACCGGCAGCTCCCGGGGCAGGGGCAGAACCGCGGCTGGAGAAAATCGCCCTGGGATGGGCGATGCGAGGGCGGCCGGGGTGCGAGGGAGGAGGAGAAATCGAACTACGGAAAGAATAAAAACTAAAAATAACTTGTAAAATTCACTTTGCGGGGGAGCCGGTGGCGAACCACCCCCCGATTCCCACCTCCCCCCGGTGCCCGAGGGCGGAGCGGACCTGCCTGTCCGTCGGGGCAGCTCTTTTAGGGACGCGGGGCAGGGGACGCTCCCCGGTGCCGCTCATCCCCCCTCACAGCGCTCGGTACCGCCGCGAGTGTCCCTCGGTGCCGCAGTTTCGGTCGCGGGTCTTTTATTGCCTTCTCTCTCTTTTTTTCCGTTCACCCCCCCCCGCCATCTCCCCGCCCCGGGGCCGCCCTTTCGCCGCCGCCGCTCCTCGCCCGCCCCTCGTCGCAG